GTTTTGTTGCGAAACCTCTTCTTCTCTAACTTTTTGCAACAAGAGCCATGAACAAAAATCTCTTTTTCTATAATTTTCTACAATAAGACCTCTGTTGCAAAATATTCTCTTCTTTAATTTACTGCAACAAGACCCCTGTTGCAAAACTTTTTCTTCTCTATTTTTTTGCAACAAGACCCTTGATGCAAAACTTCTTCTATATTTTTCTGTAACAAGATTCTTGTTGCAAAACCTCCATTGCAATAGGACCCAACATCTCTAGCTTCTTCTATGTATCCCTGCAACAAGACTGTTGTTGCGAAAACTTGCAAGAATGCCGACGGCTGCAACGGAGAGAGCGCGATGTGGTCTCTGCATCACCCCATTTGTTGCGGTGCCTTTCCGAAACAGGTGCTCAGTTGCAAGAACTGCAGTACGGAGCGCCCCGCATGATCAAATGAAATTCAACGCATGGATAGGCGAGATAGGGAAATGCGGCCATTTCATTAGAGATAGGGACGAAGGAGAGAAGCAGTGCGCTGGCCCATTAAGATGTGTGTCAAGCGTAAAATGTGGTGGATGTGATAGAAAAGATCGGTCGGTTGCCCACTAGCATTTTCCATAAAAAAAACTACCGTTTACGGGAAGTTGGAAAAAAAAGGCCTCCAACAACTCTAGTAAGCCCGGAATTTTCTAACGGGATACCGTAAAAACACCTCCTCCATCTTCCAAGTATATGGGAAGATGGACTTCCCGTGTAATTTTGGCGGGTGGAAAACTGCCTGAAACTTCATGAACAGAATGCCGGACCGCCCGGCCCCACTGCTGCATCTACGAAGCTGCCACCGCCACCGCCGCACCACTATCTGCCCTGCCCGCAAAGCAAGCCGCCGCTACCACGCACCTTCACTGCAACGCATCGCCATCGTCGCCACAGCCGCCACTGCCATGCGCCACCGCCACGCACCACCGCTCATCATCTTTTCTATAAATTTGTCAAACTTTACAAAGTTTGACTTCAATCAACTATAATATGCAGAGTAAATAAAAACGGAGGGAATAACAACATTAGAAGTAGTCCCGAACAAAACTGAACTATTGATCAGACACCACCTGAAGCAAATTTTACTACTCACCGAGCACCCACACACTATCTCCTGCATGCACTTTGTCCTCTCGACATTTAGCCGGCTCTTCCCATACTAGATGCCAACCCCCTTCACCCATGAGTACATATTGTAGAAGTAGTACACCTCTCCCTAAGAGTTGAAAGTAGTACCAAGAACCGGTGTGATCACGTTTTCAGCTAAGCACTTGGCTGCCTTATCGAACGCACTAATACGATTTGGGCACGGTGTTCTGCTAGGAGAGGCGGCATGAATCCTAAGCCCGCTAAACAGCCACATGTAGCATCAATTTTACGAATGCAGAGAGCAGTAGACCTGCAAACACAGGCACATATAGCATGAATTTTCTGAATGCAAAAAACAATCAGCCTGCAAACATGAATTTTCTGAATGCACAGAGCAATCAGCCTGCAAACACAAGGACATACAACATGAATTTCCTGAATGCAGTGAGCAAAACACTTTCTCTAACTGTACAATTTCTTCAGTGATGCTAGGTTTGTTTCCTAAATCCCTGAATATCTGATGGGATGCAGCTTGTTCTTCACTAACCTCGTTTTCCACCCCGGCGCTTGGGGATTCATCTTCATCGTTAACAGTAATGGCGTCCGCTGCGAGCTATCCCTTTTACCGGCTGCCGCCTCCTTCGCCGAGAAGATATGTGTTTTGCCGCCGTTCGCCATCCAATGTTGCGCCGCCTTGCGCTTCGCCTGCTGTGCCACCTCAAAATCCGTCACCGCAGGGCCATTCACAACCACAGGGATAAACACCAAAGTCTCCCTTACCTCAAGCAGAGTGGACCTGAAACTTGGAAAAAAGCTATCCTCTGCGTCAGCTAAGCTAGAGGCATAAAAATGGACATGGCATCGCCAGAACATCAAAGACCCAAGTACCTGCCGAACAGCTGCATCAGAAACACTATGGTCCATGGCCGCCGGCGCTCTTGACAGGGCCGGTCCTGAGATTTCGGGGGCCCGGGGCGAAACTAGAACCGGGGGCCCTTAATAGTTAATATATTATTACATACAAAAATAATAATCAACATATTTGTAAATATTAATATACCAACGCAAAGCTACAAAGCCACAACACACTAGAACAACTTAATATAACAATCTTACTGATTATCATGGCATACTCACAAATCAATAACTTTCTACAGTATTCTCTATCCCTAAATAATGTAGGATCATTTGATTATCACTTGTCATATTGTAACAAAAAACTAAACGTGTGTCTGAAAATTAATGACAACAAATATTGGGAAAAAGAAAACCTATGATTGAAGTGGTCACACAAGAAAAGTAAAGGTAAATGATGCTGAAGAAACATTATGAACATTTGGGCGTATGTTACCCAGGACATGCGTACAATTCAGATGTTCTTATGGGAAATCTGAGTCAACCATGACAGGTTACTTACTACTGCTAGTACAATGTTCACATCCGTTGGTTAATAGTAAATGGCAAACAATAGACACCGAATATAATAATACGCGTGCGGCCACGGCGCCGACTGCACCCCGCTGCTCCCCGGCGGGCAGTGCCACACCGACACGGACACGGTGGCGACGCGCTGCTCCTACGCCGCCAACCCTCACCTGCGACTTCGGCGGCACCGCCACCCTCACCTCAACAGACCCAAGTAACCTCTTCTTCCATCTACCGTAATTAACCTGCACATCGTACACGTCGGTCGTTATCTTCATACGATCTCGCGACTGTCTCAACAAACTTGATCTGGCAGGCTCCGGAAGCTGCCAATACCCAGCGTCGGCTAGTACGGGCAGCGACATGGGAGCGAGCTCCTCCACCACACCAGCTGCTGGTGCTCTTTTCTGGGGTGTTTGGCGGCACCACTCCCCGTGACTAGCGCCGCTTCAGTCATCATCATTTAGTCGTTGCCTTTAGAACTGGTGTACTTGTCAGAAGCCTGTTTTATCCAGTATAGGTTTTTGTCCCTGAAACCGGCCTGATGCAGAGGACGTAGTGGTTAAATGACTTTCATGTGGCATGAGAATTAACATATGCTTCTATTACTGCATAGAAGAATATTATTTGTCAGCTAAACGGCTGGTGTTCCTTATGAATATCAGTCTTGCTAAGTCTTAGTCACTAAGACTTAACAAAGAAGGATATTATTTGTCAGCTGAAAGGCTGATGTTCCTTATGAATATCACTCTTGCTAAGTCTTAGTCACTTAGACTTAACGAAGAAGAATATTATTTGTCAGCTGAAAGGCTGATGTTTCTTATGAATATCAGTCTTGCTAAGTCTTAATCACTAAGACTTAACGAAGAAGAATATTATTTGTCAGCTGAAAGGCCGATGTTCCTTATGAATATCAGTCTTGCTAAGTCTTAGTTGACTAAGACTTACGAAGTCTCAGTCGATAGTATATCCGTGAGATCTTACGTTCAGATTTGTGCAAAATTTTCTTTTTGATTTTTTCTTTTTCTCTCTTGCATGTTATGTTATTTGACTGAGACCTAGCCACACCCTATGAATATACAATAGGGAGTTTACCCACGGTTGCCATTGGTTTGGTTTTTTCCTTTGTACACATTGGCCTCAAAAGAAAAAAACAAGTTATACATTAATCTGCCAAGTACGTGTGACGCATGAGCGAAGTGTTTTTTCTATCATCTATGCATCCATCATCTTTTAGATCTCTGCTGCATTTTTCGGAGCTTTAAAATTGGCCCATTACCTCGCTATTGGCAGCAGATTTGTAACTTCTGTTTTTGGAGCAATGTTTCGGATTCAAATCTGAATATTTGTGACACCGTAGATTCATGTCGTGTCTGTCTGTGTGCTAAAGTTCCTTCAGATTTTTCGGAAACTTTAAAACACTAGTAAATGTGCACCTGCAATCGCACGTGCAATCTTAATTCGACTTGAAGACATACCTGAATTTTTTTTTATAAAAGTAGCATAAAAAGAAATTGTTTGTGTAAACACCATCAGCAGCAGGTCCATCTCTTCCTACAAATGGGTTGAAAACTGTACAAATCCAACGGAGAATCACCCCCTGATTCCCTTCCTTATGTACATCATGGGGTTGTGGCAGTTTCCTTTCTTGTGAAAGGTGTAAGTAAGGAAGGGAATCAGGGAGAGAAAGGATTGATTAGCACTAAACATGTTTAGCACTAAACGTGTTTAGTTGCTCACCTTTAGGACAATAAGGACTGTTGGATTAATGCTAATGGATGGCCGAGATCTGTTATATCTGCCCTACTGGGTCTTTTTATATTGGTATCGATATAGATATAGATTGAAAGGAAGTCGGGCCCTTTGCACCAGATGCTTCTTCATGTGAAAAGGGCCATGCTCTGCTCTCTCCAACTCCACCTCTTGCTTCACTCGGAAGTCTGGCACAAAAGATAAACCAATGCAGCCACCAAAAGCACAAGTCATCCAAATCGAGTGAGAGAGAGGAAAATTTCAGACATCTGAAAATAGCAAACGTGGTACTAAAACGATACATAGTACGCATACGTGAAATCCAAACGTGTGTATCAAAAGGTGGTGTACTAAAATTCGAACTTTTTTCTCTGTATCAAAAGGTTCAGATTACAGGTCCAAATGTCCATCATCCATAGTTGGACAAGTGTCTCACAAATAGCAATAACTTAGACAGAGTGCGCACGTGTCAGCCTGCTAGACCTTAATTGATTGCAGCAGCTGCTCGCACTCAGAATATCTCACACAAATACATACCTGAATCACCGTATCGTTCACACTATACATCGTATACCGTATACTGACCGTATACATACGGGTACGCCTCAACCATCACTAGAATGGAAGGGCAGCGCGGCGCCACCATTGCCGCTGGCTCGAGCTCGGAGCTTCTTATCTTATACTCGGAGCTCGGAGCTAAAAATATAGCAGGCTAGCACTCGGGGTAGTTGGAGCGGTCCTTGGAGCTATCCTGGCAGTAGTAGTAGACCATGGCCCGCTGCTGCGCCCAGCTCATGGCGGCGCTCTGCTGCGGGCTGAGCCCGCCACCGGGCCCGGCCGGCACGGGGCCGCACGACGCGGGTGCGCCGACCTCGCAGCCGGCGACCTTGAAGTCCTTGAACCCGGACACGAAGGGCTGGTAGCGGTAGTCGGACTTGTAGCGGCCGCCGTCGGTGGCCCAGTCGGAGGCGTCCCAGACGGAGCCGTAGGCCCACATCTCCCGCTCGGGGAACGTGGCCTCCACCTTCTTCTGGTAGCGGCGCACGGGCACGTCGTCGACGAGGAAGACGATCTCGTCGGGGTTCCAGAGCACGGCGTAGTGGTGGAAGGCGGCGGCCGGGTCGAACCAGAGGTGGAACCGCATCTCCCGACCGACGATGGGGTGGGCGTCCCCCGTGCCGCGGACGTACACGTTGGTCTGCAGCGTGTAGGGCTCGCCGGGGACAGTGCCCAGCAGCTCCACGTCGATCTCGTCGTGGTACCCCGGGTACACCTCGTTGTTCGACAGCTACATTAATTTTTGCTTGCGTACATCAGTTAAGAATCAAGATGGGTCCAAGAAGAAAAAACGGTGGTCGCCGGAGGGGAGGTACTGACGTAGAAGGCGGTGTTGACGCCGGCGGTGTAGCCGGGCTGGACCTTCATGGAGACGCCGAAGTAGCCGTTCCGGTACGACCGCTTCGACTTGAATCCGCTCCCTGAGTCGACGACGAATTAATTAACAGCATGATTTGTTAGGTGAAATGGATTAATCATCCAACTATTGCACAGACTTGACCACCATGTAAAGAACGCTCTTATATTATGGGACAGATGGAGTACATGTGAATAAAGAAAAGAATAATTATACAAAAAGCATTACTGACCTGAGCTGCGGTCCATCCAGAGGGTGAGGGCGGTCTGGTCCGGGGAGAGGGACTGGTGCTGGGCGCCCCACAGGTTGTTGTACCACTGCGAGAAGGGCATGGAGCTCACCTTGGAGCTCGGGTAGTAGCCGGGAGAGGGCTGCGCCTCAGCTGAACGGCCCTGCAGCAGCAGCAGCAGCACCACGGCTCCTACCACCACCATGAGACGTGATATGGCAATATGTGGCCTAATCTGCATCATCATCGTCATCATCTTCTCTGCTCCAATAGTTGAGTGGAGTGGAGTGTGTGTGTGTGTGTTTGTGTTTGTGTCTCTACTCCGATTGAGCTGCCTTCACGCATGGGCTATATGTAGTGTGGTGTAGGGTGTGGTGGGTCCCACATGGGTGCTAATCTCAGGAGTGGTTGGTTGCTAATTGGGAGTTAGTTATACACTGGTGATTGCAGAGACTGATGATGAGCTTTCATTTATTACTAGTTGACACATGAGGAGGATTTTCATCTTTTTTTATGGATGGTACGCGCAGAATTGGCTATGATGATCTCGCTGCTACTCTAGAGAAAAAGACAATCCTGTGGTTGCAAGGTCGTCTATTGTAAGTAAGTACTCATTCCGTCTTTTTGACAGTAGCGTAGTGTCAAAGACCCTCTTATATTATAGGATGGAGTGCCGCCCTGCTCGGCTACTCCTGTGTCTGCTGCATGCTCCAACCTTCCGGCCCGCCCTATCTCCCCCACTCGTTCGGGTATTGAAGATCTCCCTGGCTCTCCTGCTCGAGACATGGTGGAATCCCAACACCCCTCGAAGAACAAATCCTCAGTTCGCAAGTACTCGGCTAAGAGCCGGACCTCTTCGGGCTCGAAGCAATCCATGACGGGGATCTGCCGGCGTCTTGATCATGATCTGGGCTCCATGTCCTGCTCGGGCCCCCACGCTGGCTCTCCTGCTGCGCGGTCGCCTGCTATCCGCTCCCCGGTGTCCACGGCCCGCAAAGGTAGGCGGGTGTCCCATTCTGGTGGCTCTATTCTGGAAAGGGCGGAGAAGCGGGCAGCGGCGAAGGACCTCCCTCCCCCAGGTACCTCCCCATCCCCATCTGTCGCTGTTTCTCCGGTTCGGGTGGTTTTACCTTCGATGTCTGATGATCATCTTTTAAATATTATGTCGGACGTGGGTTTGGTGGTTGACACTTCTGTTGGCTCTCCCAGTTCGCTTCTTGCTATTATTCGGGCTAATGAATTGGCCCAAGCGGCCATTGCGAAAGCCAACGAGGCCGTTGCCTCACGGGTCGCAGATGTTGGTTGTGGTATGGGGGAGGCTTCGGGTGCTGGTAATGGCCAGCCCTCATCCTGCCTTGCTAAGAGGGGCACTAATAAACGATCTAAACCCTGTGTGGCCCCCAGCAGGTCGAGCCTCCGTATCAAGAACATTTCGTATAAATGAGGGCCTTATTCTGGAATATTAGAGGGTTCGGTGCTAGGGGGCGCCGTGACCAACTGAAAGATTTGGTCCGTTCTAATTCTATTGACTTTGTGGGGCTGGTTGAAACATTTAAGGATTCCTTTTCCCCCAGTGAGCTTTCTGCTATCGTGGGTATGGATAGATTTCATTGGCAATCTGTACCGGCTTCGGGCCACTCTGGAGGGATTCTGATTGGTTCTAATAAGGACATTTTTGACTTTGTTGCTTTTGATCATGGGTTTTATTGGGCTAGTGTGGTTCTCTCGCACAGATCTATGAATACCCTCTGTGAATTTATAGTTGTTTATGGGCCCGCGGATCACTCCTTTTCGCATCTTTTCCTTGATGAACTTTCGATCAAGATTGAGTCCTGTACTCTTCCGATGGTTATTGGGGGAGACTTTAATCTTCTGCGATGCCCTCTTGACAAGAATAATGATAATTTTTCCTGGTCTTTAGCCAATGCTTTTAACGACTTCATTAGTGCCAACGCTATTCGGGAGCTTCCTCGGGGGGGAGCCCGCTTTACTTGGTCTAATCATCAGGTGAACCCTATCAGATCCGTGCTTGATCGTGTCTTCCTGTGTCCCAGTTGGGATGCCTTGTTTCCTAGGTCCTGTCTTTTCGCTAAGTGCATCGTGGGGTCAGACCACACCCCCTTGATTCTTGATGATGGTTCCATTCGCAATAGACCTCCGGCTAGATTTCAGTTTGATGCTTCTTGGCTGTCTGTTGAGGGCTTTGTTGACATGGTTGCGGCGAAGATCTCCCAATCCCTTTCTCACAACTCCCGCTCTTTTGGCCCTCTGGATGATTGGCAGTCATGTGCTTATGCCTTACGAAAATTTCTTAGAGGCTGGTCGCGTAATCGTGCGGCGGAGGATCGCCGCACCAAAGCCTTCCTTGAAAATCAGATCCTGGAGCTGGACCATACTGCTGACTCTATTGGGCTCTCTGAGGATGGTTGGGCTGTTCGCTATAATCTGGAGGCTGCTCTTCTGCAGCTGCACCATCAGGCTGAGATCTATTGGCGCCAGAGGGGCACCCTTAATTGGACTCTCAAAGGGGACGCTCCTACTGCTTACTTCTTTGCGATCGCAAACGGTAGGCGTAGGCGTTGCGAGATTAATAGCATGTTGATTAATGGTATGCGCTCTTCTGATCAGTCCGTGATTATGGCTCACGTTGTGGACTTCTTTTCGTCTCTGTTAAGAGCTAAACCTCCATCGGGCCTGTCCATCTCCCCCCACCTCTGGAGTTCTGGTCTTAAAATTTCTCCTGAGGAGAATGCATCCTTGATGATTCCGCTCTCCGATCAGGAAATCTGGGATGTGGTTAATTCTGCCAATCTTAATGCTGCTTCCGGGCCTGATGGCTTCTCCATCCCTTTCTTTCGGAAATTTTGGCCCCAGTTGAAACAGTTGGTGTGTAACGTTATTCAGGGTTTTTGTCTTGGTACTGTCGACATCTCTCGCCTGAACTATGCTGTTATATCCCTGATCCCTAAGGTAAAGGGTGCTGATGTCATTTCCCAATTCCGGCCTATAGCGTTGATTAACAACTTTGCCAAGTTCCCTTCCAAAGGCTTTGCAAACCGGTTGTCTCCGGTAGCGCACAGAGTTATTAGTCCCTTCCAGTCTGCTTTTATCAAAGGGAGTTTTATTTTAGATGGTATTCTCTCCCTTCATGAGATTGTTCATGACCTTCATGTGCGGAAATCCAAAGCCATTATCCTCAAGCTAGACTTCGAAAAAGCGTATGACTCGGTTAGCTGGCCTTTTCTCAGGCAGATTCTTCTTGCCAAAGGGTTCGACAGTGCTTATGTTCACCGTATCATGCAGTTGGTCTTGGGTGGCCACACTGAAGTTGCCGTAAATGGTGCTATTAGCAACTTCTTTGCGAATGGGAGGGGCCTCCACCAAGGGGATCCGGCCTCCCCTATTCTTTTCAACTTTGTGGCTGACGCCTTCTCCTGTATGCTCTCCAAAGCGGCTCGATGTGGTCATATTATCCCTGTGGTTTCTCACCTACTTCCGGAAGGGGTCTCTCATCTACAATATGCGGATGATACAATCATCCTGGTAGAGTTGGACAATGCCTGTATTGCCAATCTGAAATTTATTCTGTTGTGTTTCGAAGCTGTTTCTGGTCTTAAGATCAATTTCGCCAAGAGTGAGGTTATGGTGACGGGGGTTGACCGGGCGGAGGCCTTGCGGGTGGCCAGGCTCCTCAACTGCTCCTTAGGTTCCTTTCCTTTCAAATATTTAGGTCTGCCTATCTCTCCTGGTCTGCTTCACGCGAAAGACTTCGCTCCGGTGGTTGCTAAAGTGGGGAATAGGGTGCTTCCTTGGAGGGGTAGGTATAATACCAATGCTGGCAAAGTGGCTCTAATCAACTCTTGCTTATCCTCTCTCCCGATGTTCCTTATGGGTTTTTCTCGTCTCACGGATGGAGTGCATGCTGGCTTCGACAAACATAGGGGTGGCTTTTATTGGAATTCTGCTGATAACAAAAGAAAGTATAGGTTGGTCAAGTGGCAGTTGATGTGCAAGCCTAAAAATCTTGGGGGGTTAGGCATTATTAATACTCGGGTAATGAATATTTGTATGCTCGTTAAGTGGTGGTGGAAAATTATGACGGTTGGGGCCGATGTGCTGTGGTCTTCGATTCTTAAGGCTAAATATTATCCTAACTCCAACCCTATGTTTGCCCCCGCGCGGCGCGGTCCGCAGTTTTGGAAAGCCCTTGTTAAAGTTCGGCCGATTTTTCTGGAGCACGTTAAGTTTTGTGTGGGTAATGGGTCCGCTGTTCGTTTTTGGTTAGATTGGTGGTCTGGGGATGCTCCCCTGGCTGTTAGCTTTCCGGTTATGTTCTCTTATTGCCCCAATCCGCAAATCTCCATCGCGGAGGTGGCTGCTAATAATTGGGACTTGGCTTTTCGTCGGGCCCTGTCTCCTGAAGAGTTGGAAGAGTGGCAAAGTCTTTCCGCCCTCTTCCCTGTGCTCTCGGAGGAGGCCGACTCGGTGGTTTGGCCGCTTACGGCCTCTGGTATATTCTCGGTCAAATCGCTGTACTCTAGACTGATTGATGGTACTACTTCGGCTAGATTCTCTTGTGTTTGGAAATCTAAGGTCCCTCCTAAGATTAAGATTTTCCTTTGGCAAGCCTTCCGTGGTCGCCTCCCTTCTGCTGATCAGATCAAAAAACGCAACGGGCCGGGCTCGGAATTCTGTAACTTGTGTGGGGCTTTGGAAAACTCTAATGACATCTTTTTCAACTGTGTTCTCGCCAAATTAGTTTGGGCTTGCGTCAGATCCTGGCTTCGGGTCTCCTGGAATCCCTCCTCTTTATCAGATATTAGAACCCTAGCCAAATCTCTGGTAGGGGTCACCAGGAGGGTATTCTGGGTTGGCTTGGGAGCCTTATGTTGGGCACTATGGACCATTAGAAACAAATTTACTATTGAGCTTACCTTCCCATCTAAGCCTGCTGATGTTCTTTTCAAATCATGTATATTCTTGCAGCAGTGGAGATCATTGACTAAGGAGCCAGATCAGGACGCCCTGGACCTGCTCATCGCCAAAATTCGGGCTTCAGCCTCTCAGATCTCCGGGACGAATCATGGTGTATAATTTTGGTGCTGTAGTTTGCGGGATTAGGTCTTCTTCTCTTCCCGGCCTGCGTGCCGTGTTTGGCAGCTGCCTGTATCGCTACTACTTTGGGTCTATTTACCTTTCTCTGTGGCTCTGTGTTCGTGTGAGCATTGGGTATTCATGACGCTGCCGTGTGGCTTT